ACTTAAAATATTTAGTGGCTGATAAAAGAATTGAGCTAACCTCAATAAGGATTTCTGGCTCTTCTTCTTCTTCCGGCCCATTTTGAAGCTTCGGTTTTTCTTCTTCTGAGTCTTTGAGCGTTACCTCATCAGTTGTCGACATATTTTTATTTTCATTAATAGATGTGCTCTGGAGCAAAATATCAGAAATTATTTTCTTATCAGAATAAGTGTCAGAGCTCTCCAAAGACTGTCTACCAAGAATAAGCTCCCTTTCGTCGAAACCTTTGCTGTCGACAGAAGTGGAGGACTCAAACCTATTATCATCTATTTCTTCCCTTTTAAGAGCTGATTTATCAGCATTCGATGCAAGACTATTTATTTCACGCGTAGTTGTGGAAACAATTGACTCCCCTATGAGACTTTCTTTCTTCAGCATATCCACCTAGTCAGCAATAAGTAAAAAATGTATTAATTCAATGGATAAACAGATTGATAAAGTAAATTAAATTATTAAAAGTTTGTTAAATAATATGGCTAACTTGAAATAATACTTATACTAAATAAATAGTGAATAAAAGTTATGATCATTCTAGGTTGCATAAGATTATGATGGATTAATTCTCCAAGTGGTAAAAACAGACTTCAGACTGCCATTGAATTTTGCATAACCTTGCCTTCCAAAAAGTAATCTTATCAAGAATGGATCGTAATTGCCCGTGGGGGCTGAGGATGAAACCCAGAATAAATCGAGGTTGCAGTCTAACCTGGATAAGAGGAAAGGCTATGTGAAATCTAATGGCATTCTGAGACCTATCTATATAAGTATGGAAAAACCTTTAACTTAAAATAAGCAATATGACAGACTCTGGTCAACATTCCCAGCACAAGGATGAAGGGAGTGATAACGACAGTGTGGAGTGTGAAGGGTTTTCATGAATGCCGCTCGAAGGAGCACACCACACTACATTAAAAATAAGTAAGGTAAAAATTTTGACAGGGAAGGCATGATAGGACTATATAGAAAATGTTAGTAGCCCAGGGCAGAAGGGGAGATACCACAACTGTTTAGCACACGTTTGGTCAAAGGATGTACTTCACCTGTCTCTTTAACGAGTTGTAATATAGTGCTACGAATGGCGAGATTCATTGACGATGCCGGTGAAACGTCTGGGAATGTACCACGTCCATGGTCCTACTCTGGAAATGATGATGCATAT